TTCCCCGGCCAAGTGCCACCCCAGGACCGCGGTACCAACCCTCATGCATGTCTAGGCCCTGTGTACGAGCGCCTCAAAGTTTCGATGGGAAAATCGCTAACTAGAGAACCAGAAAAGCTAGAAAGCTGAAATTTTGGGATTAAGTCCCCCGTCCATATAGAACTCAAAGATTTCAAATTCAGCCTCGGAGGTTCGTGGTTCCCGCGTACGGCCCACTGAGGGTTCCTGGCGCGAAAATCGCTAGCTCGGCAACCAAGAAATCTGGGAGGTTGAAAGTTTCAGGAAATGTTACCAACTCATCTACAACTTCAATTTATCAAATTCAGCCCCCGCCATGCGTAGTTGACACGTACGGCCCCGTGAAAATTTTTGGCAGGAAAACGAATAACTCCAGAACCAGGTAAGCTGGGAGGCTGAAACTTTCAGGAAATGTTTCCAACTCAACTACAACTTGAATTTATCAAATTCACCCCCCGTTATGCGTGGTGGCTACGCACGGCCCCGTGAAATTTTTTAGCTGCAGTTTCGATAACTCGGGAACTGAGAAAGCTGGGAACCTGGAATTTCAACAGAATGTTCCCTGTCCAACTATAGCGTGGATAATTAAGTTCCCGAAATTCGAGGACCAGTATGTACAAGAAGTTTCTAGCTAGCGGAATTTCGAGTAATCATATTACAGCACGAAACACTGCAAAAACGCATGATCGCGCGGGCCATCTCCCCCTCCTCCCCAGTGTGCGTTGCCAATGATTCAATAAACGACTACTCGATTGAAATAATCCATTCTGTTTTATGCAAAGTCGCGTTGATTAAAGACAGTGAATGCACGAGCTAAATGTAAAGCAATAACCATTCATAAAGTTAGCGACCTGACTATTTTAAGTTTTAGTGCAAGAAAAGCATGTTTGCACCGACAATGCTTGGCACGTACTAGGCTAGCTCCCTGAATTTTATGCGAATGCAGAAACGTATGCTGACAAAAGGCTGTGTGTGTGCGTGTCTGTGTGTCCGTTTTTTGTCGTCCACTTCCAACTCATGAACCAGAAAAGCTAGAAAGCTGAAAGTTCGGGGGGTATGTGTCAATTCCCTTCGTTTTAATATTATAAATCATGTATGGCTGGGCCCCACGTACAAAGGCCTCAGTGAACATGCAAATGTTTTAGCGAGACAAGACGAGAAGTTGAAATTTTAAGGAAATATTCCCTGTTCACATACAACTTAAAGCTGAAACTTTGAAAGAATATTTCCTCGTGCACATGTGAGCTAAAGATTTCGAATTCAGCCCCGGGGTTCACGTGATCCTCACTTATGAGTACGTGAAAATTTTAGAGGGAAAATTGCTAGTTCAGGAAACAGAAAAGCTGAAAGGCTGAAAATTTAGGGGATGCCTTCCGTCCAACTACAACTTAGGGGTTTCAAATTCGATTTCAAGGTATTAGTAGTTCCCAAGCATTTCGGGGATTGCTTTTCCACCAAAAAATTTGCACACTTTGTAAGACGTCCGTATGCGGTACCCAGGCGTATGCAGGCGTTGATGTTAAAACGGGAGGGTCGCATGTGTTGTAGGCACATACTCCCGAAGTTTCAGCTTTTCTGATTTTCAAGCTGAAAGTGGGTGACAAAAAGTGCGAATACACAGATACACAGACAAACATACATACACAGACAGCTTCTTGCTAATATGCGTTTTTGCATTGCATATATGCAAAAACGCATGAAAAAACAATCAGTGGGTTCTCCTATTTGTGAAGCTGGCCTTATTCGTTTTCAGTTTTACCTAAGCATCAGTTTCATAAATAGGGAGGTCCCCTACTGATGACGAGTTTTTCGTTTGCTTTTACTTTTTTTTCTTGCTTTAGGTTCACTTTCTCATTCTGGTTTTGTTTCTGAGCTCAGGCTTGTTTTAATTTACTTTTTTTTTGCATTTTTTTGTTTTCTTTTCCTCTTTACTGCTGTGCAGTTTTTATCTCGAGCTTCTGACTTACATACTCGTTCCCTTTCTTTATTCTGTCTTGAAACCCTCCCTGCAAAGCAACATCTGAGCTTCTGTCCATCTCCACGATAACAGCAGGCAATACTTCAGCCCTTTTCCAACCCCACGTATCCGCGGCAAAAACCAGGAGCACGCTCCTCCCTCCTTTCCACCCATCACTCCCTCCCCTTTCCCTCAAGTGGCCTAGACAACTGCCAAAGGATCTATGCCAAGTAGATATTCAACCTATTCAGTCTAACCCCTCCCCCTGCCTCAAATCCCACCCCCAACAAATGTGCTCTTGCAATGCTACCCCTCCCCCCGCCTCCTGTGCCCTCTGCAGTTCACCCGCCCTCGAACCTTTCCTGTATCCCGCGTATCCGCGACAAAAACCAGCAGCAGCAGATTTCCCCAATTTTCCATCCACCACGTCCTTGTCCCCTTTCCCTTACGTTGCCTAAGCTACTGCCAACGGATCCATGCCACGTATCCAGCTAAACCACCCTTTCGTCGTATCTTTATTCTTTGCATCCGGGGCACCACACATGCTAGCCTTCCCCCTCTCCCCCGCATCCTACCCAACACCAGCGTGGCAGTGGGGTAACGATACCCGAGAAAATGGCAGCGGGGTAACGACGGGGTAACGATACCCGAGAAAATCGTTAGCAACTCGTGTATGATACCAAGCGAGCCGAGTTTTAGCAGTTGCCTGCATTTTGACCCCCTCGCCACCTCACCCGTATCGCTCTTGTGCTGGCGAAAGAGAACGGAAATGAAGAGAGTTAGAGACCGATGCAAATCGCAAAAATTCGGAAATTAATGGCACTTTGCCAGCTATTTTGTTAGGATTTTGCATTTTGGCAATGTGCCAAAGTGAGCGGCGAAGTACACCGACGTCGGTGCGCCGTGGATTTTGCGTGGGGCTAGGGGCGGGGTTGTTTTCTGGATGTTTGCTAGGTTTCGGTGTTGCGCACGTGTGGTCGTTTCGGGTTCCATGTGTGGTCGCAAATTTGTCAAAATTTGCTTTAGAGCCAAATTGAGGGCAAATTTTCGCGCATTTCTTCGGTATTTTTGAAGTAATTTTGATTAATTCTCATATTCTGATTCTCCGGCTGCTTTGACCATTGGTCAGCGGTTGCTGGCGATCCTAACGTTCGTTTCATTCATTGATTGCTGTGCCAGTCCAGTGGTTTTTCCGGTTTTTCGGTTGAAGCGAAATTGCTTCTGGCTGCTTTCTGTTTATTTGCTCTGTTTGACGTTGTTGAATAAACCTTGTTTTGTTGTGCGCATATGTGTTCAAAGTGGACGAACTTTATAAAGCATAGCTTCAAAAAAGCTCTGCTGGTCGCGAAATTGCCCCCAACACACGGGGCTTTTTTGATGAGGATCGCCATGATGTACTGGAAAATTTTTTGGAATACTACTAGAAATGCTAATGAAAATAATCAAACTGTCAGCATTAGAAGATTGGAGGAAGACGGGGTAAAGACGTACCATGCCACTGCATGTGTAATTTGGTTACAGTGTAGGCCTACAGCGAAAAAACAGTCGAATTTTAATATTTGGTGAAACCCAAAAGAGCCATTTAGCTATCTCACGTGAGCAAACCGGTATTTGGACTAGCTGACGCGTTTGTGTTTCATCCCTGAACTGTTATTGTTGCTGCTGCTCTAATAACTTCTTTTTTTGCAGTGATGGGTATCCAGGGTCTCTGGTCGGTGGTG